GCTCTGCTCACTATTGCCTTATGCTGAAAATCAATTTGGAGGGGAAATATAATTACTCAATCACAAGGCTAAATTATTTGTATTTTTAGTAATGACACATGGACAGTCTTTGGCTCATGTAGTCAGTATGTAATATGTATGTATTCACCATGCAGTATGTAGTAAGGTAGACCCCACGGCTTGAAGAATTGAGCGTTATATGACTTGTCCTTTTCGGCAGTGGGATTTAAATTTGAGGAAAAGTTTTTGTTTTACTTGATTCAAAGCAAGATGTTGTTTTCAATTTACTAAGGGATGAACTTTCTGTTTTAAATACAAAGGGTGTGGGTCATCTGCATATCCAGTGTGAATGTTTTTGGCACCTTAAAACTTTCTAAATGACTCTGTATGCGTAGAACAGCCAATTACATGGAGTATCATATGTGTAAACTGTTTGGAATTTGAATGGTTTTACCCTTGACAACACTCAAGAAAAAGCAGATGCATGCTGTGTAGGTTAGATTCAAATTATTTAATACCTTTAACAAGATGCTTAGTTTTACCCTATTTCTGTGTGGGAAAGCTGTTGTAAGAAACAAAAAATACACAATCATTATGCTATAAAAAGGTTGAAAACTGACTGGAATTCTTTTAAATATACACCATCATTCAAGGTTCCCATGACTATAAGAAGTTCCCATTGCTGCAGTTTCCTCGGTGAAGAAGAAGAAAATCTTTACCTCTACCTTATTGGTTTTAGCTAAAGAAAATGAGCAAAGCATAATAAACGTCAGTAAACTTACAAAGGTTTCAGCTTAACACCATTTATCGGGAAAGGCTAGGTCGCTGGTGTGATTCTTCTCCCAGCCTCATTTGTCTGTGTAAGTTTTCCATATACACACAGAGCTCCCTGACATTAATATGAGCAGACCTCACATATGTTCTTTCATGTGTCCAGCTGCACTCCTGAATTCATGAGGCATTTGAATGCTGTTATAACAACATTAGCTAAGATTGTATCTTGCTTAGTAATATTATTTCCTTTTTGCATGAAAAATGGCTTTGATATTATTGTTTATATAATTTATAAATGACGCGACATTTTTTTTCCCGAGTAATTTCTGCTGCACTGCCTAAATCATAGAATTTATTCTCAATAATAAAGCATCTGGTATTGTGGAACAGAAATATCTGAGACCAGCAAGTGCATCCTCTTGTAGTCAGAAATAAAAAAAACAGTGTCTTTGTTATGGGAAATTTATGATTTAAGAATTTTCTTGTAGGGAAGCAAAGCACTGTGTGTCTTACATATATTACTTTTAACTTTATAGAATTTCATAAATCATTTACACAGCCAAGGTTTTAATATTTATAGAACTTGCACTAAAAATTTTGTGTCCAGTGATTTTATCAAGTCATTCATTGTACCTCAAAAAAGTGTGGGTGAACTAAGTGATACACGTCTCTTATAGAAAATATAATTGTCTACAAGGCTTCCAGGCAGTCATCCATATTTTTCTAAGTTCAGATGTTTTATTGATAGTAGCTTGATTGCATTTTTAAAATTTTTATAGTATTTAGACCTGTCATTTAGATGACTTAATGCATTTATAAGGGCAAAATCCAGATGATCTACAAGGATTTTATAATTTGTAATTTCTATGACAATTTTTTAAAAAACATATAGCTATATATTTTAATGTAAAAATACAATACAAATAGGAACAAAACAGATTTTGGATAGAGTTGTTGCTTATTCTCTGATAATTATACTTTTATGTTAACTGGATTTTTTTTAAATAATCGGTATTTTCTATGAGACACAGCTAAATGAATAAGAAAGTCAGCTCTCTACCCTTTAACTGAAGAGGAGAGGACAAAAGGTAGAGGAGAAATGCTCTATTTTGATCAGGCAACAGACTCAACTTTGCATGTGTTCTTCCGCGCAGGTTTAGGTTCAGGGCTTACCTTTTGATAAACAGTAACTGTTGCTGATAAAAAAAATGAATCTTTTAAAATGTTAGTAATTTCTATGTGCTGATGACTCGGGTATGCTGGGCTAAGTGTGTCTGGTCTTGGACACATACAGTATGTGGATGCACCTTATAGTAATACACAGGTGAGAAGACTCTTGGAAATCTTTTTCATAAGCAGGAGTCAGTTACATCAGCAGATGAGTCTGGGATCTGCTTTAAAAACTGGAACCCAGAATCTTCTCCAGAGATCCTTTTAGTCTCTTTTACCACTGCTAAATTGAAGAGTGAAAAAGAGAATATATAGTTCAAATGACATATTCAGAGAAGTATTTGGTATTTCTTGTATAAAATCAGTCCAGGTGACTTGACTACCAAGAGAGCTTGAAGAGTCATGATAATTTTGGTGTTTTCTTCAATATCTGATCAAATAATTGGCGCTATGTCAAAACAGTAATTTAGCATAGTAGGATCTACTACGGACTGCCAGAAAAGCCTAATGCTTCTCAACATCTGTTCGTGTAGACTCCTAGAGGATGAACTTAAGTATATACAGCACACCCGTACTGTAAAGTACTGTAAAGCTAATTTAGTTTCTGTCTTTGAGTGTATGTCTATATGCACATATTGTAGACATGCAAGTAGCAAGTGAAGACTGGGCCAGTTTCTGGTGACTAGGTGTGTGCCCATTTGCAGTGGGATTGTGTATATGGTCAGTACATCTCGACTTTTTGATAACTTATTTTCCTATTTTTAAGAAGTTATTTTCTATGTAGATGCAAAAATGAAAGTTCAAATTGACAGAAATCCTTGCTCTTGACAAGCTCATACAAAACTATGTAATTGCCGTGGGACAATACATGACTAGGAGAGCTGGCAAAGCCAGGATGGGTTTTGTAAAATACAGCTAAGGTGCTATGTTCACTGTAGAACAGCAAGCATGTAATAGCTATACTCCTGGATTCCTTTCTGGTGGCTTATTTTGGATTATAAGTGATGATTGTTGCTGAGAATTTTAAAATTTGGAAAAATAGCAAGTAGTTGGCAATGGTAGATTCTTAATGCGTAATGATAAATACCTACATTTAAATTCAGTCATTTCAATGAAAATACACCATTTCTCAGAAATAGTTGGGAGAGTCAGTGAGAATTATCGGTTTTACCTCTTCTGCTTATAAAGCCTGTTTTATTTCAGTTCTCTGCTCGTAGATTTTGATACCAAATTATAGGCAACAAAATTGCAACTTTTTTAGTCAGACTTTGGTTTTGGGTACAGCACTTGTATTGCTGACAGAAAAAAGACATAACTGGAAATTCCATGGCAGAAGTACCTTTTGCAAAATGCTATTAGCTTTCAGAAGAATATCTCTTTCACCTTTACCAGGGTAGTCACACTTTTATTTGTAATATAGTCCAGATGTTAATGGTCACGAAAGGTGGTTTTGGTGAGAATTTCTGATTTTAGAATGTGATCTTCCTTTCAAGAATCGGGAAACATATTTAATACATTTACAGCATGCCTGTTAATTACCTAGAAAATATGAATGAATTAAAGTTTAAAATAATTTTATAAAGTCTTTATCACTGTTTTTATTAAATCAAAGGATATTAAATACGCTAAATGTTATACTGACTGTAATGGACTAAGTTCAAAGTGTCCTTTTGAAAGTAAAACCTTTGTATTTTGTACATTTCCTTCTTTAAAATGAAAATTAGGCTTGATTTCTTTTCCATATGGCATATGCAAGTCGATGTATTTGGAGAAAACAAGTGAAAAAAGATCATATTTCTCACTGAATGCAATATCCCTCTGAGGAGACTATATTTTACTTTTCTAAAGCCTGTATTAGCTTTTTTAGCTTTAGTTTTATGGATCTGTATCTTCATATTCTCTCTGTAAAGTTTTCTGCACGAGTGTTAAGACCGTGAATAGACCTATTAGTTATATTTCACTGACTTGCTGATGTAATTTCAGAGGAGTAAATTGAACAATGTCAAAGTATGATCTTAAGTAATGGAAACTGAGAAATTTTCCTTGTCGTCTGTACTAAAAATAGCAGAAATACTTTGGTTTAGTGTTCTTTTAGAAATGAAGTTTGATAGAAGAATCAACATTTTTTCCTGATACAATATTATCAAAATATTCTGTAGCATGTAGCAACAAAATATTTATCAGGTAACGTAGTAATAATGATGAGGAAAAAGAAAGAGAGAAATTTAATAATGCAAAATGTGTGAGCATAATTTACAATTTAAAGTACTACATAAAAATGAATGTTTTATTAAAGTACATTAGTATTTCTCCACTTTTCTGGACAGAAGCATTAATTTAGACCTTTTCTTTAAAACTATTTTTTAAACCTTTCTTCCTGCCACGTGTATATCATGCAGGTTAAATTCTGATTCTATATAATAGTATATATTTCATCAAAAGTCTATAAATTTATTTCCAGTTTTGAGGTACCTGTGCTTACTGAAATTCTACTCAATATTTAGCAGATACTTCTCTGGGAATTTCAAGCAAAGTTAATGTGCTTTTTATTATAAAAGTAGTTTCTAGATTTGTTTTTCTTATCAAGTGATCATATTTAACAGATCATTTAACGTTCCTTAGAACATTATCTACAGTAGAGCTGAATGTAGAGTACCATTGTTTTAACTATTTTATTGAAGTGATTAGAATAAATTATTTTATTCAAGTGATGAGAATAGTTGCTAGTTTATGTAAGAAAAACAAAGAAATACGTTCCTTCAGGAAGAACTGTTTCTTTAGATTTTGACAAGATCTCATTCCATATTCAAATGCTTTCTTTTCTGAAAATTCTGTTAGGAATACAGTACAGTTTGCTTTCTAATTTACTGTAAGTAGTTTCATAGGAACAGTTAAAAACTCAGAGGCGTTGATGCTATACACTGCACATAATTTTATGCACACATAGACACATACAAACACACCTCTGGCCTCACTTTATTTCATATTCCATGTACTCTATTGGAGCCTTTTCCTTGGAAGCCCTTTTTGAGTCCTGTTAGCACAGGTTATGATAGGATGACCAGAAGTCTTTACAATTTTACTGTATCTTTGTCTGTCCTTTCTTTCACCTTTCCTTTACTGCACTATCTTGTCTGATTCTCGCAGGAGACATGGATTACAACTGGTTGGACCATACGTCTTGGCATAGCAGTGAGGCATCCCCAATGTCTTTGGTGAGACATGTGGAGCCTTACCATTTAGTTTCCTTTATCATTTCCCATTTCCTTTGTTTTATTTACACCTTTGCATGTTTTCTTTTTTGTATCCTTTTTTTATCCCACACCTATAGGGGACAGTCGAAAGGGAAAAAGAAAAACTAGTGAGCAGGCAGTTTTGTCGGATTCTAACACCTTATCCGAGAGGCAAAAGAAAATGGTGTGCTTTGGTGGCCACTCTTTGGAAGAGGACTTGGAATGGTCTGAGCCTCAGATAAAAGACTCTGGGGTAGATACGTGTAGTAGCACAACTCTAAACGAGGAACATAGCCATAGCGAGAAGGTACTGAGATTATGGAGCCTGCATTTTAACCTGCTCATTTGGTCTTTGTTTGCTCTCTGTCACTCATTGAAGTAGTGCATAAAATAAAAGATAGGGTGTTTCTAGAGACAATGTAGCATTTCTTAAGGTGCAGAAAAGAAAAACAAATGCAAAGTCTCTGCATGCTTGCAGCTTTTAATGTTTGGCAGCCTAAGAAAAAAATTGAGAGGCTTAAAGGAATGCTGTTCTTATGGTTGCATAATAGAATATCATGATCTTATCTTCAAGTAAAAAGTAATTAACAATAATGATTCTACTGATTGGCTTATTTGATTTGCTATGTTTAAACTCCTGGGGCTGAAATTAAATTAATAGTTGAAAACCCAGGTAAAAATGGGAGAAAATTGCGTCTCTCTGCACAGAAAAGTTGTTTTTCTTTTTTCCCTTTCACTGTCATGGTTGTTCTTTTGTTTTGTAGCCATGCCATTTTTGTGCAGTATTGTGCAGAATTAAAGGCTTTGCCATCTGCTTTGGTATTTTTTTATTTTTGCTTTCTGTTTGGTGGAGATTATGATAAATCTTTTTAGAGTTATTAATTGTAATGGGAGCAGATTTGTCTGTGCCTGCTAATTTTGCATGAAATAGAGCATGAAATAGTATTATTTGTGAAAAAGTGCTATGATTACACAAATAAAATGTGAAAATTTGATTAATTATGCCAATATACAAGTATAACCATGCCCATATATAGTAATAAAATAATAACAGTAAACTTGTCTATGTTTTGTATGTGAAGTAATTATTCCAAGAAAGAAACAATACATTTAAATAGAGTAATGACTCTACCTTTTAATGCATTCTATAATTTTGAATATGCTACTACTGAGAGAAAAGCACGGAAAAAGTCTGTCAGTCACAGAAAACTGACATGTTTGGAATAGTGAAAAAGAAGAAATACCTCACACAAAAGTTCTGGTTTAAGTGGAACTTCCTTTTCACTATTGGTCTTGTACTAGACCTCTGCAGTTGTTTTTCTCACCGTGACTATCATTGTGTGTAGAAAACTGTGTATAGTTTTCTATATTTGTCTAATGAAGACATGAAGTTCATTCTAGATAATTATAAATTGGATATATTAAGATAAATAGTATTAAATATTAGACATTCAACATACAGAGATCTATTTAATTTTCTGTATTTCTATTTACATTAAATGTTAGTGTAATCATAGTACTTTCATGGCATTTTTGAAATATCATAGCAGGAAATGAAAAGTATTACTGAAATGTTTTTCTTTAAAACCCTATTCACTGTATTCTCCATTAACACTGATAGCATCCAGTAACTTGGCAACCATCCAAAGATGGAGACCGTCTCATTGGTCGAATTTTGTTAAATAAAAGGCTAAAAGATGGAAGTGTGCCTAGAGACTCAGGAGCGATGCTTGGATTGAAGGTTGGTAATGAATAATTTTGGAACTAACAACTCAGTTAAAGTAGCTACAATTATAATGATAGTATTCTTATATTATGTAGCATATGCATACTGATTATCTATAACGTCTTATCATTCTCAAAATCACGATATGGAGACATTATATATTCAGTTACCAAGAGTAATTTTACAAGGTCCCTGGTAGGCTCAACATTTTGTATTTTTCTGAAAGACTAGGCATGTTTTCACAAGTTTAGTGAGAATGTCTTCTCTGCAAGGTACTAATTGCATCCTTGCTGGGCAATCCAAGACTTGTGCGCTTACTTCAGCTCTGAGCATTGCACCGTAGTATAACTTCTGTTCCCCAAAAGAGGGGGAAATGTGAAAAATGAATTATCTCATTTGAAGGTCTTGTGGACATCTGGAAGTTAATGACATTTTAATATAGAGGAGAGTCTGCTGATGGAAAAGCCTTTTCCCCTCTGATTTTAAATACACAAGACAGAAAATTATGTAATATTTATTGTATATTATTACAAAGTAATGCGCTTGCGTCCTTTTCTTTCGTGATGCTGTACTATTTGAATGCATTATGAAGCTATCTTGATCTCATTTTTGTGTGATATTATTATTTGCATTTCCAGCAATACTAGTACAAGAATGAGAATGAATTATACTCAATAAAAGAAAAAAGCATGACACTAAATTCACTTTGGGTACATAGATTAGGGATTAAATCAGTGTAGTTGTATCATATATTAACAAGCTTTAAATTTTTTTTTATTTTTTATTTAATTGACAAATTATTTTATTCTGAAGTCAGTGGGGAAGCCAGGTGAGCATCCCTTTTCGTATATGTTTTAGTGTCTTAATGTCAAAACGTGCAAAAGAAGAGATTAACAGTACCACCATGAAGTAATTTTTGTTTAAACTTCTATTTTTAGAACTCTTCACTGAGATTAATGAGTAGTTTAGATTCAAGAGTAACCACTTTTAAACCTCAATAGACATCTAGAAAGAGTGATTTTCAGCAGGTATTCCTGACCTGAATTTTCAGATATTTGCAGCATTGAAAGTAACCTAGACGGGATTCAGTATTACAAATTCTAAATCCCAGTATGAAGACTGTTAAGAAACCTTAAAAATTGGAAGATGTTGCAGTTATAACCAATTCTGATATGTGAATATCCTGATTCTACGATAAATATTGAGGTCAAACCTGTTTAAATTTCCTGTAGAGAAGTCTTCAGTATGACAAGCATTTTCATGTGACTTGCCCAGCCAAAGGGAATTTGATTAAATGAGACATTTGATGCGTAGTGTGAACATCATGAGTTCTGTTACATTAATATATCTGTTTTCAGTTAAAAAGTATTGAAATAAGCAGTCTTATAACCAATACCTTACTTTTTTGGGAGTGGTAATTTATAATACAGTAAAATACTATATGTATACTTGCTAAAGTTTCAAAGCTTTAGCATTTGGTATTTGCATTGTGTTTAAATTTCACAAATACCCAGAATAGGTACAAACATAACCTGTCATAGCCAAAATTCTGAAGTGTTTTTGTTCAAGTTTATCTGTCTTACCTAGGCTACCTGAAAACAAAGGAAATGATTGAGTTCTTTCTGTTACCAGAACGTTTAAGTTATTTAAAGTAATTTTCATTCTATGAAAATACTTCCTCTTTGAAACAGGTAGTAGGAGGAAAGATGACTGAATCAGGTCGACTCTGTGCATTTATCACCAAAGTTAAAAAAGGAAGCTTAGCTGATACAGTTGGGCATCTTAGACCAGGTATGTATCTATTACAGATTTATACTACTGTGTTGCTTTTCTGAAGATGATAACAGATGAGTGAGATTAACTAGACGTGAAATTATGTTAAATAAGTGTGATGAGCTACTGCAGAATTCAACCTGACATTCAGTTACTTAATTATTGATATTACTGTTTTAGGGAAATCAGTATATTCTCATGTTTCTCAAAATAATTTTAGAATTTTTATTTATGTTTTTGTGTTCACATAATATTCCATTGATGTCTCGCCTAGTCATTTTGTGGTATATATTTTATTTAGAGCAAACCAAGCTATTACAAATGTGCGAACAGAACCAGCTCTGTTAAGATACTGCTGCTATGCCAACATGCAAACCATGGACTGATAGAATGGAGAATATACAAGAAATATTAACAATTAACATAAGAAATATCTGAACCTTAAATACTAGATTTGTAGAGGTAAATAGATCTTCAAAATAGTAAGTTGATGAGATACGCTGTTTTAAAGATCTGCGTTTTTTAAAGAGCACGTTGGGATTTCTGTAAGCCACAGCTTCCAAAGAGTAAGAGCTGTCTCTGATTCAGTAGGGCTCCTACTGATATTATCGCTTCACTGAATTTTACATATTTAAACCTGAGCTGCAGAAAACCTTTAATACTCGGGATTTTCCTATGTGAAGAAGTCCAAGCTTGTTCTAGAACATAGATTTCACAATTATGTAGACTGACAGCAGAATGGCTTAAATTGTCATTACAATCCACAGCACACTTCCTAAGCAGGGTGTTGTTACTGAAATTATAGGTGATGAAGTATTAGAATGGAATGGAAGGCTACTGCAAGGAGCCACCTTTGAGGAGGTGTATAACATCATTTTAGAATCCAAACCTGAGCCACAAGTGGAGCTTGTTGTTTCGAGACCAATAGGGTAAGTAATCTTGTGGATTCTTGTAGTAAATATGATAAAAATGTGACTAAATTTCACTGTTAGGGCAGAGCATATCAAACAGATTCATAGACACTGTAACTGTAAATAGTAAAACTGTATGCAAAATTCTGTAAACTAAAAGCATAGCTAAAATGGTAAATCACACCACTAAGTAAAAGAGCTGATGTGAAACCCTGTATTCTCCGAGAGTTCCAAACTTTATCTCCTAATATGGTCAAAATCAGGTTCCCTCTGTGGTTGTTTATTTGGCAATCCACTAAATATTGGTTCTGAAACTGTGATTATACTCTTTATTGTTGTGTCTTTATTGTTCTTGACCCTTGATTTTTATTTCTCCATTACTATTTTTATATAATATATAAAAATTATATGTTCGTATTTGGTCTATGAAATGATGATGAACGCTATTTATTAAGAGTATCCAATGTAGAATTTTGCACAAAATATTGTATGCTAATGACATAACCAATATGCTTTAGAAAGTCTCAGATCTACATTCTCATCATATTCATCTGTGAAATCTATTAAATTATTGCTTGTTATCTCATACAGAACATACCTGAATAGCTAGCGCTGGGTGGAACTTTTTCTTAGGTTCTTCACATTGGTTAATTTTCTTAACTTTCAGACCTATCCTCAGTGTCTAAACTTAAATTTTTCTTGTGTAGCAGAAGTTGCTTTGTTATATTAGACTGTGAATACTTCCCCTTCTTCATCTGTTCTTTTTCTTCCAAGTTCCTACAGTCACATCCATCCTTTTTTTACATCTCCATTGGAAGTTCCATAGCTGATCACATCAGCGCTATGAAGAGAGGGATGCTTAGCACTGAGTTTGAGGATGCTTACGGTCGTTAAGAATTTTCTATTGTCCCCCACAGATTTTATTGTGAAGTATGTGATGCAACTGGGCAGGGTGCTGGGTAATCTTGTCTAGGATCCCTTTACCACATGACTAGATGTTCTTTCAAGATCCCTTGCAACCCGGGCTGTTCTATAATTCTATAATTGTATATTAATGAATACATTTATCCCTTTGTTTTTTATAAGATGCACACAATTATCTTACCTGTATATAAGAAAAAGCACAGGTAACACAACAACTACAAAGTAGGAAGTACTGAAAAAATCTAGAACCGTATAATCTTGAGGACGGAATTTCAGTGAGGATAGTTCGTTACCACTTCAGCTGTAATAGGAACTTAATGTGTTTGCCACATCAGGAATTTAACACATAGGAACTTAATGTGGTTTAACAATTCCAAATGAATTTGATAATAAACAAAAACTGCTTTATCTTGTCAGTGAGATGAGAGGCTATCTCCTCACATGATACTGAATTGCAGCCCCTTTGGGGTAAAGGCTGTAGTATCATCTGTCCTCTTCTTAAAAACCTTTCCATAACTTGAGAGTTGTGGGTATAATAGTAATGCTAAGGGACAGACAACATTACTAGAAGAATATTGTCTCAGAAAAGGAGAATTCAAACTCATCTCATAACATGTGTAAGATATTTTATAGTTTCTCTCAATGAGACATTTATAGCAAAAGTTTCAAGGAAGTGCTCATGTCTTGAAAATACTTTTTCTCTTTCTGCATTCTTTTCATTGTGTGATGCCTCCTATATTTTTTCTTATACTTTAATATTTACTGTCTGTTGTTTATCTTTCTTATTACCCCGTCTTCTGTTATGTTAAAATGTGCTTCACTTCCTGTCACTAGAATAGCTTATCTATAATTCCTTAAAGGAAGTGATTTTGGCTCTCAAGATGTCTTCTTCAGCATTACCTGCTTAGCACATGGTCTGAAGAACTGAGCCAGATCAGGCCTGAAAGAGTTGTATTGTGTACTTGATTCCCAGTGGCTTTTTGCAGTAGATAGAAAAATGAGTTCTTACCTCCAAAACTCCAGTTATTAATCTAAAGAGATTTATAACTTAAGTCTCAGTGACAAATGCTTTCTGCAAGTTAGTAAAGTTTTAGATTCTAGTGACATGTATGTAACTCTTTGGGGTTTTGATATTGACAATATAACTTCAGAAATGTTTTTCATGAGATTTGAGCTAATGAACTGGAAATACCATATTATCTTCTCAGTTTAGAAGATTTCAGGTGATAATCAAATGGACTATAGAAATTAATATCTTATGCTTGCCCAAGGAAACATAGTGTCATAGGTTTGTGTTCAGCCCCAAGGAATAAAGTTTTAATGTATTTAAAATCATTAAAAGTTCAGATTTATCAGATGTCAGAAATGATGATTACTTCAGTTAGAATGATTAATCCCCACTTGAAGGATTTCACTTTTACTTTGAGGTGTATCACATTGCTTATAAAGAAAGTCTCTTGATGGTCTCATGGCAGCTCACTAACTCATCCCAGAAATTTTCATTTACTGGCAATTAACTGTGAAAGAGAACCAGTTGTCACATCCTGATATTCTGAATATAAAACAAATTCCAATAAATATGATTGTTAGTTCTTCTTCATTTTATTATGAACTAACTGCTATGAAAACTGAAAATTACAAGCTAAGATGATAAAGGAAGATAAAATGCAAAGCTGCTTTAAAAAAAAAAAAGAAAAAATCGTATCATTTTACCAGCAATTTATCCCTTTTACTATCTTAAAATAACAATTGATGGCCGAGGTAATCTTCTGTGTGAGGTGGCATTCTATTATACACAAGAAGTTATCTATTTACTGCTTTATAATTATCAGAAATACTTATTTTAAAATGCATAACTTTTTCATAGTTACGACTTTTTTTTTTAATTCAGAAGGAATGATGCGTTGTGTTTTATTAATTATTCTATACAATCTGCTCGCACTGGAACATACCTTAAAGTGTAAAGAGATGCCTAGAACTTCTGTTGCTTCTCCTACATTTGTTTATCTCAGTTTGAGTTCCTTGTATATAATACAATTCACACCACCATGAAATAGTGGGACCTGCGTGCTTTACTAACAACAGAGACTGGTTTTTCCTTGTCTGCAGTGGACAGATACAGCAGTTGCGTGCCTTCTGATTTGTTCGAATTGTTGGGTACTATACATCAATTCCTTTTGAAAGATTCCTCAGTCTGCTTAGTAAAGCAATCTTTCTAGTGAGCCTTGAAAATAAATGTTTGGAAACAGTATACCAAAAAGGAATTAGATAGGTTTTATTATATATAATACAGACAGCAAACTGAAAAACATTTTTAACTTCCCCTTCCTTTTCATATACCTATGTGGTGAGTTGACCTTGGCTAGCCACCAAACACCCAGCCAGCCACATTCTCCCACTCCTTCCTCAGCGGGACAGATGGAGAAAATAAGACAGAAAATCTCATGGGTCAAGATAAGGATGGGGAGATCATTCAGTGATTACCATCATGGGCAAAGCAGACTTGGCTTGGGGAAGATGAATTTATTAGGTATTAAAAAAAAAAGGGTGGTGAGAAATAAAAAAGAAACCAAACTCCACTTTGCCTTCCCCTTCCCTCTCCCCAGGCTCAAATTCAGTCCTTTGTTCCTCGCTCTTCTACCTTCCCCTCATAAGAAGAATATGTTCCTTTGGGAGACAAGTGGGCCTAATGATGTGCTTTCATTGTGACTGAGTGCTTTAAAATTGCATAGTTCTATGCACAATTTAATACAGGTGTTGCAACATCTCATGTATGTGCAAATATGCAGTTTTGCTGAATGAAATTGCACATTGCAATTGAATGTGGAATTGCACATGGAAAAGGTAAGATTGTCCAAATTTGAGGTTCAGGGATGGTAAAGAACATATGGGAATAGTCATTACTGCCAATTTAGTACGTTTGAGTGAGGGTCCAATAAATTTAATTAATGTACAATGTCATCATGAAGTCTGCTACTCACAGTTTTAGGGTACCATTAACTCTGAGACTGTGGTTTTTTTTAAATTTGTTTGCTGAATTATTTTATTTGTGACTGTGCAGCCTCTCTCCTGCATCTACCAAACTGCTTGTTCTGTAGGCTTTAGTTTGGCACTGAAATTATTTATACTGGATAAAAGATAAATCTTCCCCATGGCTGAAGACATGCAGCAGATCATACACCTTTCCTGAGGCATTCCATGGTGGATTGACAAGTGTTACAATGTAACTGAAATTTGAATATGCTTGTTAGATAAAGGATCAGCCTGTCTTAATTTTCCTGATTTCAGGGACATTCCCAGAATACCTGACAGCACACATGCACAGCTGGAGTCCAGTAAGTTTCAATTGTGGGGTAGGAAAATCTTCTCTCTCTTTTATGTAAGCACAAATAGATTGGCAAATGTCATCTACAGTCAGTATAGCTCTTGTCTCCTTGTCTGCATTTGTCTCAATATGTCATCGTACTGTATTATCTATTTACCTTTGTTTGACAATGAACTATTAAAGTCAGGATACCTTGATTAACTCTTGACACTTGGTTATCAGCTTGTGCTATTTTTTACTGAGAAGGAAGCATAATTCGAACTAATATACAAGAACATTAATCGTAATATTTGATTTCCCAGTTTGTATTTTTTTTTGCATTTCAGTTATAAACTAAAAATCTGGATTAAATGGTCTTTATTTACAACCTGAGATATAGCTACTTTGAAATTAGAATACTTTTACTTTATTATTCAGCACTCCTTAAATTGGCTAAACCAGTATGCCATGTGAGGAAAAATAACGTCCTTTGTCTTAAATCTGATAAGTTGGATTTCAGCCTGGAGTTATTTATCATTGTTTTAGAACTCTTTTATAATAGAAGCCATGAATAACATAAACTTGATTATAATAATATGTAAAACTCCTTCAATAACTTTTCATTGATCAGCCAAGTCTTAAAATAAAATCCATTTAATGTTTTGTGAGATGTGGATTGTCTTTTGTATTTATAAAAATACTTTACTTTTACTCAATGTTTTTTATGTCAAAACTTGTCCACTGACTGTTTGCAGACCTTGTAGATTTGAAAGAAAATGCATAATAAGCATTACATGCATCCTGATGTTTTTGTGAAAATCTATTTAAAAAGTATTCTGATTGTACAAGATAATAAGTCAAAATACTGAACTCGTTTGACCACAGTAAAGTATTCACATTTACTATTTAGGAATTTTGGGCCTTCAACTTATTACACATAACTGCAGTCAGAATATCTGAATAAACTTTTTTTCCGTCTATAAATCCAAGCTTTTGATTGCCTCTGAGCACCAAAAGATACAGTATCATTATTTGGTAATTTTTAATAGATTAGAAAGTGATATTACAACAACTTTATTGTATGTTTGATTGTATTTCTACCTTTTTTATTTAAAGAATGTTGTGAAAAATGAGTAAGTGCTACTATCTATAAAATATTTCTGTTTGTAATTACAGGTTCTAGTTCATTTGAATCTCAAAAAATGGACCGACCTTCTATTTCAGTGACTTCTCCTATGAGTCCTGGCATGTTAAGAGATGTTCCACAGTTCTTGTCTGGACAACTTTCAGTATGTAAACATTTCATTGATATTAATGTTGTGCTTTTTGCAGCATATACAGCTCTCATTGCAGAGTGCAGGTTACCTCTAACATAAATTTATTATTAAACTAGCTATTTTTTTTGTTGTCGTTGTTAATGCTACATATCTCAGTGTAGGCAGGGCCATAGTATTATAAGGATGTTAGTTTTGTTAGCTTTTGGAAATTTTATATGTGTTGAATTAGATATATATGTATGTATATTTATCTGTTAAGCTAGACTGGTAAAGTCAAATTTTCAGAAAGGTGTAATCTTGGCCTGCAGTTATGTTTGCGCTGTTAAGTGTGTACACTTTTTCAACTGTAACACTTAAACGTACACTTGGTAGATTTTATTACCTGTGTGCTTGGACATCAATATTGCTTATTTCTTATGCACTAACTTTCATATATACCTTTCCCTAGATATCCCTTTGATTGTTTACTTCTATTGTATTCTTTGTACCAGTGTTATTCACTTTTGTTCTTCGCTCTCATTAAGAACAAAGGTCATTACATGAATGTTTTCTTTAAAAGGGTACGTTTTTATACTAAAGTGAGGATCTTGGGTTTTGTACACCTTTCTGTGTCATTTACTGCTCCAAAGTGTGATTTTTCAAAAGTGCTCAGTTATGGCCTGGTACACATTGAAAAGGAGAGACAAATGGAATGGAAGCAGTGCAAAAGTGGTGTTAAACAAATTTGAAAGTGTCATATTAGTATTTCTTCCCAATTGTTTATGTTAAGATAATGAGTGTGCCATAAAAATACGCATAAAATTCAAGCAGACTGGTTTTTATAGGTCTCACAGAAATGGTTTATGGTATTGATAGAGGAGAGGAAGAAACATTTTTCTGTATGTTCAGCAGCCATGTTGGCTCCTTTTGCAATGCATGAGACATTATTTGTTTTGCTCATCAGACTAGTCATCTACTACATATAATTTTTAATTTTCTGTAACTCTTGTACTTAACTACTTTGAAAGACTCCGTTCTTTGGAAAAATGGAAAAATAAGAATCTTGACTGTAGAGTGCAGAATGCTCTGCAAAAACTGCAATGACATGGGAACATGAACAGAAACTGTCAAAATGCACAGACTGAGGTTTCTAAAACCAATTTGTTTTTGCAAGACAGCAAAAAATTGTTGATAATGAAAACAGTGGAAAGAAATCTCTTTTGGCTATATCTCATAAAAGATTAGACTGTCAAAAAGTTTTGATTCCTAGCTTCCAGCATGAAATTCACGATCCAGAGTTAGCTGCTCAGACATTCAATGCACAGACACTGTCACACTGTGGTCCAAATATTGGAAGAACACAGAACTGGCTTCCTCACTTTTTCAGTTTCAGAAACAAAATATTTGGGAGTTGAAGATTAGGATTTAGTCGTAAAATCAGTAAATCTGTTGATTTTCTGGTTTGATAGCATCTGTCAGTTTGAGATGCATAGGAATAGTATCAGGAGTTTTGGAGGTATATTCTAATTCACTGAGAATAACAGAATTCTCAAGGTTTTATAACTCGGAATGGCATATAAATTCAGTATTTAACTCAAGAAGGCATCATTCCCACTTTTCATTTTTTTAATCTTGTTTCAAGATATAAATTCAAGACATAAATTAGTAAGCATATAACATTTCTATCCATCTTAGGAAACTAAATAATATTAGGAGACATTTAAAAATTGTCCACTTTGTACCTCCTTATGAACTATTTGCACTTTCACAGGATACTTCCTACTGCACAAAATCCTTGTTTCCCTCAAAGAGCAGCTAACACCTGAGAGCACACAACTCCAGCTGACTGACACTGAAATGCTTAATAACTCTCTAAATTCAAGTCCTACTGTCTCAATGTAGACACCTAACATTTGTAGACAGTTTGAAAATTAGACGCTTATCGTACCCACTAAAGAAAAGTTGGAACTAGCTATATTTCATGTTAATCATGTTAAATGCACATCCCAGCTCCTGCTCAAGGCTTTGGGAGGCTAGTAGTAAACCTCTTGTTTTGCAAAGATGGAGGCTGTCACGATGTCTGAAGGTGGTGTGGATAGATAGCAATGTGTCACCTGTCTGGTCTCATTGAAATGTGTAGACTAAAATATAATTTTAGAAGAAGATTACTTTAAGAGAATTGAAATATTCTACTGGAACATTTTTTTCAAAAGAGTAAATATGTGTAGTTTTCTTTTTGGTCTGATATTTTAAGTGGGTTTCAAAAAATATTTTTAAATTTGGGGTTTATGTGTCTTGAAAATAGTGCAATGGTTCCGTATTTCTTTTTAAATTTAGACTTCTCATTTTATAACTTTAAAAAGTTTTGAAACTTTGGAAATATTAGTGAAACAAACAATTCTTCGTGGAGTTGGATATATTTTGAAAAATTATAATGAGCTATCATATTTTCTAATTTTGGACTTTTAGCAAAGGTGAAGTAATAAGGAGAAAATGAATCAACTTCAAAAAACAATGTTTTAGCTTGTACACTACAAACTGGACGAGCTTCAGTATCTTGATTTTCCATGTTTTTTATCAGCTCTGTTTTTTGACAGAAGAGTTGATGGAACACTCATTCATTCCAAATAGCTCAGTAAGATGGAAGTGAAAGGATATACTAAATTCCAAATGTAGTTGGGAATGTGCTCTTTATGGTGTGTGTGTGTCTAGGCAGAGTAACTGCAGCGCCCGGGCAGCCGATGGGGACAGGATGCTGTTCTTAGTGGAAGTGGTGGATCAGTTCTGAGTGATGGTGGCACAGGTGTGATGAATCTGAGGGAATGGATGCTAGGCAAGATTTTGAATGTGTTTTCTGTATTTTCTGTACTTTTGGACAATACAATGTAGGCCTGATAGGCCATTGTTTGGGAATGTGCGGTTAACAGGCTGTGAAATGCAAGAGTACTGGGCAGAATTGGAAATATCTACAGTTCAAGTGGAGGTGTGAAGTATTTGCATAAATACTTGGATATATACATCTTTGTTCAGACAGTGTTACAAAGCCTTCATGGCTTTTTATATTAAGTGTTTTGGAATGTATTTCTTTATGTTCAGTATGGTTTTAGCCACTTTAGCTGCAGTGAAGCCTCTCTATTACACAGAGATCTGTGTCTGTTCACGTGATGGTTTTTTTGCTCTGTGTTGGCGTTGGTCTGTGTACCTGTTTTCTTCTGCTGAGGTTACGGTCACGCTCCAGAGCTGGCTAATAGGATTTCTCATGAAGCAAATCATCTCGCATAGCTATGAAATAATTATTCTCCCAAAATACATACTTCACTGAAGAAATTATATGCACCTACAGTAAACTGTTGTATGTTATAGTTTACTGAGGTATATAAATAATTTACCTGTATTCTGTGCAGATTATTTAATAGCATTTTTGATTCACATTGTTCTTTCAGGGAAGTATCTGACTGTTATTGCAGTTATTGTTTTATTATTATTTGCTTTATCTGGTTCCTGTTTCTGTGATTTTTCATCGATTTGCTTTTTCTTTTGATATCATTCTGAAAAAGTATTCTTTGTGTGTTGGTCCTTTTTACTTCATTACTGCATTCTGGCTACATTTTCAATAATGCATGAAAAGTATAACTTGGAATGCTTTTGCATTAGTTAGATTTAGAGACTGATAACATGACTAGCAGACCATATAAACTGATACAGGTATAAAATTACAGTATTTTGGGTTTGTAGTGGTGTAAAATCTAAGAGAAAAGGAATGTAATTTATAAAATTATTCTATTTGCTTGTACAGCTGAACTACATAACCACTTGAATAGATTTTCTATACATATTCAGTTTACAAAGCAATAAAAATAAGGTATAGTAATTATAGTTGTAATATCAGCACATTAGTAAACAGATATTGTACATTGTGAAGAACATAGTATGTCAGTGTATTAGGGGGATGAGGTCAAGTATGAGACATGCTCCTCTTCTTCCTTTCACCTTTTCCATTTTTCCTGTCTTTTTTTCCCTTTCTACCTCTACACAAGTAAATTGCTGTTGCTCTAATGTTAAAACCTGGAAAGTTCTAGGTAGTGCACACAATGTGCGTATTTTCCTCCATTTTCCAAGGCATAATATGGCAGGTGAGGGTCTGTGGTGTGTGGTGGAAGATGCTCTATCCCTCTTATGATTGAGATGATATTCTGTAATATCTATGTTTCTCTTGTAAAATGGAGCTTAAGCAAGCTGAAGATCTACTTCTGTGTGCATGAGTAGGTCACAATCTAGCAAGCATACATTGGACTAAGCAGCACTGTCTGTGCTGAATGGGGAGCAGTGTGAAGCTTCTGCACCACCCAGAGCAGAGGAGCACATCAGAGAAAACCTGTGATCCAGACTGTCATATTTTCTTATATATCCTCTTGCTTTGGTGCGAGAATGGATTACTTCACACCATTTATGGAACAGATTTTTCCAGCGCCTGTACACGCCAAGTAAGCAAGGAAGGTGGCAGAAACATAATCACACTGCCTATCCCCATATTTTGGGTACGTTTCTTACCAAAGTGAATCCTGAGTAGTAGTTTCCATCATTTTGGAATAGATCAGTGATCTCAGAAAAAGGAAAAGGAAAAAAAAAAAGATAAAGAGAAGGAAGATAAAGGAGATTCAGATCTGTCAGACTGTTGTGTTTGTTGTGACCTATTCCCATGCTCCCATTCCCCCAACATGTGCTCCTGTTCCTGTGCATTCCCCATGCTCAGTACCCTTTCTGTGCCACTGCATTAGCTGTTGCCCTAAGCTGAAGATGGAGAGTGGTTAGTTGGAGTTTGTAGCCAGTCAAGGAGCTTAGGAGAGTTGCCTGTACCGATGTAGTCTTGATGTAGCCACTGGAAGCCACAAGGCTATATGTGGTCTAAAGTGTTAGATCACAAAAAATAGGAGCTATAAATGCATCTGTGCGTGCAATGTAACTTACTAAATGCTCTAGACACCATTTCATGCAAGGGATTTCTGTATATACCATATGTCATTTCTGTCACG